AGATTTTGGGCCAGCCCTGAGCAGGAGGCAACGACAAACCACTTCTGAAAAATCTTGCCAAGAAAACTGTAGAGCCTAATCCAAGCAGTCAACCAGGAGTCAATACTGACTAAGGGCATGTGCATGTATGCACCCACCCACATCATTCTAGTGAGCTCCAGAGCAAAGCTTGCCAATTAAAGTAAGGTATAGTTGGGGAAAACATAATGATACATTTCCTGTCCCTTGCAGTGGCATTATTCAGGTGGTATAGATATTTACGAAGCTAATGAACCCAATTCAACTGTATGAATTTACAAGTAAAGATCTTTTTTTAAAAAAGTACTTTATCTACTTTCTGCCCCTGTAAACACAGGCAATGGCTTAAAAAGGTTTGATTTGTCTCACATAGCAACAAATAAAATTAAAAATTAGTATTTTATTTGAGAAGCAGATAAGACAATCAAAGATACAATCCTTAGTTTTTCAGCAAAAATGTGAGCAACCAGGTCTGCTGCACGAAGGCTAATAGAAAAGAACCCGGAGAAATTTCAAAGTTTCAAAACTGAGCTACATGGCTATATGCCCATTGGACAGCTTTTCTTCAAAATCTACAAGCAAGCTTCTGTAATTGAGGGCATCTAAAGGATTAATTGTGGCATCCATTTATAATGCATAAAAATCTTTCTTTACAGATCCATGGGAGAAATAGACATCTTCAGGTAGGAATGAATATCTGAGGTATTACCCGTAACCAGCTAGGAACATAGAACATAATTGGTATTCAGAATAAAGATGAGGAGGCCTATAACAAAGGAGGTTCTGGATAGACTGCCTTGGTATGCATTTGCTTAGAGGTAGAAAAGATGTTGCTGAGCTACATCTCCCAGCAGCCCCAAACCAACAGGGAAAGATGTAAAGAATTTAGTTCAGCAACATATGGAACCATGCAAATTCCCATTCTTAATATATATGGTTTGGCAGTGAGTATACTGGGAAGAGGCACAGGACCTGAGCCAAAAAAAAAAGGGTTGTAAGAACAGTTCCCTCTTGTCTATCCCTTCTATCCCCGGAGGAAAACAATACATGTATCCAAAATAAAAATGCAAATATTTCCTGATGGTTGTCCTTTGGGATGTGTCCTGCACATTAGCAAAATGTTGAATTTTCCCTTGTGCAAGCTTTTGTTACTAAGAGCAAAACATTCCTTCATCTTTCTCAGCTGTGCAAACAATATTGCCTCTCTCCCCAATTTGGAGGGCTCACTTAATATAAATAGTTTGGAAGGCTCATTTAATATACTGTAAATAGGTTTTATTTGAAATTTAAAGGTGCCCACTACACCAATGACTTCAAAATCCATAGTCCTGCATACATTTAAGCTGCACAAAAATGAATGTTACCAAATGCTGATTAGAAACTTTCAGATTTAGCAGGTAAAACCACTACATTGATACAGAGATGTGTCCAGGTACCTCCGTACTTATCTTGTACTATTAGGGCATAACAGAGCATCCTTCACTCCAGACAGGAGCACTGATCACTGCTGCTTTCAGCAGTTATAATGAACATTGCAGCTGAACTGGGAGCATTACAGAATATCCCAACATTAACAGACAAAAGATTGATTATGGAATAAATAATTTGGAACATGTGGAAACACACACTTGCCAGTTGTCTGCAACTCATGAAAGCAGATTGAATGAGTTGCAGACATATGCTGTGTTTATACCCCTGCATATTACACAGCCTATCAGCTATTCCTTATACCTGTGTGGGCCTGCAATTAAAAAATAGACTGAACAAAGTAATCCACCAATTCAATATGCCCATGCTGACATTTACTACTATGGAGCCGAGGATTTAGAAAGAGACGTTGCCCTTGACAATAGGGCCCAGTTAATGAGGACATTAAAAAATGTTGTTCCAGCAGCTTTTAACACAAAGAGCTAGTCCCAACTCTGGTCACCTTCCAGAAACTTCTCAAATTGAGCTTTTCTGGAGGGAATTTGAGGGCTGATGCCAGATGCCTTGCGTTTGTCTATTTTGATTGCTGGTTTTATTTTATAACCTTTTCATTTTTACTGTCTTTTTTCTTTTATACTGTGAACCAATGAGTTTGTGTGTAATTGCAGCAGGATATACCGGTAGTAATGTGGTATAAAAACAAAAATAGACTACACAAACTGAGTTTTGCCCAATGTATCATTGTTAAATACTAAATTATCGCCTTACACAGCAGCTTTCTCCAGTGCTGTGTGTCCTAGTGATGCATCAGATCAGCTCTTTTCAGAATAAGCAGCCAACAAGATCAATGTCCATATTGTAGGAACAGTATTGAACTGAAGTCCAAAACAACAAGCTGGGAGAGGCTATTAAACACTAATATTACTTGGTTGCAAGATGATGCATAGTTATCTCATGAGAATTGCCACAATTCCAAAACACTTTATACTGAATTCTCCTACATGTGGGACTCCATGCCCAATCTACAAATGCTTTTTGAACTCCTTTCTTGGGTTTATCTAATTCTATCCCAGTTCAGTAAGTGGGCAAAAGACTAGGGGAAACTGAAATAGAAGCAAAAGATGGACTATTTGTCTGCAATTTTATATCTCTTTCAAAGTAGTCCAGCTGTTTTTAATATCCAAGATTAAGCTTTTGTTTTTGATGACTAGTATGATATTAAAGGCATTCTAGGCTAGTGACCTCAGGCTGAAATCCTAATGCATTTCAACTTCCATAATTTAGATCTAAAATCACATGATTCCTTACAATTGCTCCAATTGGCTAGGGCAGAACTTATCTGATGGGCCTAAGAGTAAACAAAGTTGTAGCAGTTTCCATTATTCCTGCTGCATGACTTGGGAGTTTCAGGAACAGCAAAAATAATAAGCACTCGGTACATTCAAAATAATTAATTCATTTCCAAATATTGTCACAGGCTCAGTGTCTTACAATGTATGTAAAGAAAGTTCCTGTATCTTCAAAGGAAGGAAACACTATGTTCATTCCAGTATACTGTTGCAATTCAGTATTTCTTTTGAACTGAGAACAAACTAACATAGATCCAACTACTTACAATTCACCCCCCTGAATATTGTCCCAGAGGGATTATTTAAAAAAACACAGTTGCAAGAAATGTCAATCTACACTTGCTGATTGTAATGGGAGGGAAGGCTCTTTTCCTCTTTATTACCAAAAATGTCTATTTATCCTATGAGGAAACTTAGAAGTATTTATTTCTTTTCCTCTTGGGGTTGTGTAATTGAGAAGACAGTTTTTCTAATTAGAAAAACAGAATGTCACAAAAGATAAGTGTTCCTACAGTTCCTCCCTCCCAGTGGTGCACCTACTCAAAGCAACAATTCAGAGATCCAAATAACTCAGTCTCACATCAAATTGGCAACAAAGAATTTGATGCTCCCTGAGAGGAAACGTAAAGAATATTCTAATTAAGAAATACTGAAACATTTTTGCCAACGCTATCCAAGAACTGATTATCATAGTGGCCAAAGAATACTGTATAAAAACTGAAGCTGAATAGAGTATATAGCTGTTGGGAGAATAACCACCGATAGCCAGTGAATTATTTGTAGAGAGCAAATTGAAAAGGTTACAGATTGGAGTAAGTATTATTTATTTACATAAGAAAAGCTGTTGCTATAATAATAACCCTTCACCCCCTAGGTTTAAAGTGCTTTCTCCCGAGAAAAAATTAAGAATGCTTTTATCCCACATCACACAGTTGCAAGTTACAACACTCAGTTTTGCTGGCCTAAACTACCTATTCATTTAATTCAGTGGTCCACAATGACCTTTCAAATACCCTTAGAAAACTCATGACCAGGGTCTTATGGAAAATAAACCATGCTCTTCATTGGGAAGCAAAATGGGACTGCCCAAACAACAAGGCAAAATCAAATGACTTCCTAGGTACACAGAAGATGAATTTTCAAAATAAAAGGAAACTAAATGTCCTGACAAGGACTTTTGACCAAAACACTGAGGCTGATGACAGAAGAAGGGAATCCATAATCTGTAGCAACAGATGTTAATAAACTATATACAGGGACCTTAACGAAGATTTAGTCAAACAGTCAAAGACCAACCTAGAAGAAAATCCCTTGTATTTCATGATTTTCCTTAATGCAAGCCCAGTTTTACCATTATTACACATTTCTACAATACATCTTGCACATATTTATTCAAAGGTCCCAATTTTCTGCAGTGGAATTTACCTTTAAATAAGCAAGCATAGGATTGCAACCTCAGTGACCCTAACATTTTTTCATGTGTACAATGCCACTACCTGTGGAATATCTCTGCCTATAAATATTTGTTCATAGATTAAAAACCATGGTTTAGCACAGGGGTAGGCAACCTTGGCTCTTTTATGACTCGTGGACTTCAACTCCCAGAATTCCTGAGCCAGCCAAGGTTGCCTACCCCTGGTTTAGCATAACATAAAGTAATACGTAGGCTGGGTTTATACAGTCTTGGATTGAATTCATTGTTGCATACTCCAAAGGTTAAAGAAATATCCAGTGTTTTGTGGCTAGGACTAGGTTAAGGAAGCAGGACAGAGTCAATATTCTATAAGGTATTAAGAATCAACAATTACTAGATTAACAGTTCACCATTCAAATGCTTTATTTGAGGGACAAGCCAAGCAACATATGAGGAGCATCCATTTTCTTAATAGACATCTGACAACCAATTTAATACAAAATGGGAAGAATGCAAATTATATATTCATTCATAAATGGAGCTAAGTGTCTAGATAGTATTAATGAGCCAGGGTTGTCTAATGGTCTGGCAAGAAGTTGGGGAAATGGAGCACACATTCAAGCAGCACATAGCTGACAGTGAGAGAAGGGAGGGGTACATCATGAAATCCTATCTAAACTGCTTCCAGGATTAGCTGATGACACTATTTCAAATATTGGAGTAAAAAAAAAGAGAGAGAGAGATGAAAGATGTGTATTTTAAGAGAAAGCCACACCCATCAGAAATCTCACCATTTGCAGATGATGTTGTACAACGAAATGGAGTCATAGGAATGGTGCAGTTCAGCCAAAGGTCTGCCCTGTGTCCGTTCCCAACGAGCCATTGCTGAAAAAAAATGAATGGTTTATCAGAGAAGGGGGTGGAACTTAATGTTATCTTCCACGCTAAGGAAGTTAAGCCAGTCAAGCTCGCTTAAGGAATGAAAGCCATTAAAGACCCTCTGAAGATCCATGCATCAATAAAGGCTTCTTTTCAACAGTAAGTGTAGAAATACGCATCCCTCTTTACATTGGCTAAGAGGAGAAAGACCTTTCTGTGTGCTTTGATTCCTTTGACTGCGTTACAAAGAGCCTTCAGAAGAAAGGCAAAAACAAAATAATATGTCTCATTCTTTTAGAACCTTTGCCAAATTTCATGGAGAAAATTTTATTCTCTTCAACCTTCTTCTCCCAATGGCAGGGCACGGAGAATGGTCCTGGAGCAGAATACCAATAAAACACATGGCAGCTAATACAATCAGCCCTCTTGGAGAATTGGCACATCTGCAGTGCCAGGACTAGAAAATCTACAGTTCCTCCAGATGTTGCTCAACAACTACCCCAGCATACTTTACATCAGCCATGGAAACTGAAACTGCTGGAAATTGTCATTCAGTAACATTTGGATGGCCACTTTAAAAAAAAATTGTGGCTCTTAGCCACTTTCAATAATCTGGAAACTTTTCTGTGGTTACTCAGTAAGAGGAATTTTTTTTTCCTGAACCAACCCAGTACAGAGACCGACTCACATTTAATAGGCCTTTATGCTTAAAATTTTGGTTTCTATTTTATTTAGCTAACAGATTCACCCAAAGGCTAATATATTCTCTGACACGTATAAATACTATTGTTAGTATAGCGAAAGTTATGGGAATACCAACAATTCTGTTGTGTTTGCACTATAATTTCACATTAAATTTTAAAAGAATAGACAGATTTTAATCTGCTTTAATAGATGGAGCGGATATATTTCATAAAGAAGCAGTGAGTTAATTACCCAATGGAGCATTAGGTGTAGGCAATAAAAACAGGCAGGGTAGTTTACTTACACTGACAATTGTAGAAACGAAGAGAAGAACAAGCACCGAGATATGGAGCACAATGATTCCCAACAACAAAAGGAGCATTTTGGCAAAAGTGTTCAGTAGATCTGGAAAGGGGGAAAATACCTTTAAGCAGACGGGAAAATGTTTACTCATGGATGAGATTAGGCAAACCTGAATTTAAGAAATGAACAGCAGAGGGTGCCTCTGAGACAGAATATAGCAATGTTTTAAAGTTCATTTTATGATCACTTAAAGAAATTCACCAAATGTGTTTTTGTTTTATGCAGAATGAAGCTAAGAAAATGCACGAAAGTGGGAGAGTTTCCAACTTCTTAACTAGGAGTTAGAAGCATTAACTATAAAACAACAATAGTAATTTTGTGTGACTGAACGTGATTATTTGGAGAAATAAAGGCTAAGCTTTGAAATAATCTGAATTTTTTTTGGGGGGGGAAGGTTTGGGGATTTTCACTGCAATCACACAGTAACTAACAGTTGCAGAAATTGCAAGAAAAGGATCCCCTTCCAAGCAATCCATAAAATACACAACTTCGATAACTCGCCCCCCCCCCCAAAAAAAAATTGATTCCCCTTTTTCTTCCCTCCAAGATTTGGAAAGGTTATATGATGCCTGGTGTACTGAGTGTAAAAGCCATAGAATACCTCAAAGTTTCCGTTCACCCTACAGGAGCTTTCCTCTGAAAAGAGACAGCAGACAAAAAATCTCTTTTCTGAGGATGCACTTGAATCGTGTCAAAGTGAGAAAAGTCTAAAAGCAGGAAAACAGTGCCATGCTTGGACTAGACCCCAGAGACTGGCTGAGGTAGTGTAGGAGGCGGGGAATGGAAACAGTTATGCCACAAAGTCACCATTCTCCTTTGAATCATCAACATCTGCAAACCAATAAACCGCCAATCCCTCAAATTCACAGCCCAGCTACAGATAATAAAATAAAGTTGACAATTATTCTGGGGGGGGGGGGGGGAACAGAGGGGAAAAGAGATTTTTGAAGCTTGTAATATTGGACTGGATAGAATGAGGGAGGGGGGGAACAGATAAATCCTGAAAGGTCCAAAGCAATAACTAAGTGGGTTTTTGTTAAAGCAGCAGGAAAATGGAGGGACTTGAGAACCTGATGAAGGGTGGGAAAAACCTCTCCATGTATTTATTACACACTGGGAAAAAGGGAAACCACTACAACACTATAAACACACAGACACACATCACACACTTCAGTCTACCAATGGACTGCAGGGAGGAACTGAATTCCAGGCAGCGGGAAATGGGGTGGGGGGGGGGAAGGGGTGGTGGAGAGATTTACGTGCTAAAATATTTCAACCCGTTTCTAATTATATCAGGGCCGGCATGATTTAGAGCGGGGCACTTTTCAAACAGCAATTGAAGCTTTATAAGATCCGATAATCCCGAACCAGAAGCAAATTTGTCTGCCGAGGTCCGCTCAGCTGAAGAGGGTCTCTCCAGCCCGCCCTTCCCAACCAATGCCCAACTTAGCTCGCTTAGGATGCCAGGAGGGAGGGAGGGAGGAACCATAGCAGACGTGGATTTGCGAGCTTCGTACAATAAAAGTGCCCGGAGGCTTCGGGGTTAAGGAGGGTGACTTATAACAGACACCCCCCCCCCGAGTTGAGTTTGCGTGACTAAATTCCCCGTCCCGCCAGAAGAATGAGTTGGAAATGAAGCGGCCTACTTACTCCGCTGCAATTTAATTTCTGCCGGGTTTTTTTCTCTGTCGGTCGCTCGGGGAATAAAGGGGGGGGGGGGGAGCCCCGAAAGAAGGAGCCCGAGAAAGCGGCTGCCCGCGTTTTTTCTCTCCGAAGACGAGGGGCGGGGCCTCCAAACGTCTCGCCCTTCAAGAGGAACAACGCCCCAATCGCGGTGGGGCGCCTAGCGGGCTTGTGTCTGTGTAGCACGCCGACGGCCAGGCAAACCGTGCCCCAGCTATAAATACTTTCCCCGAGGAGAGAAGAGGGATGAGGTGACGGGCCCTTTCTTTTAACGCGGCGGCTCTGGGTTGCTTGCGGCGCCAGCCACCGAGCGCAGGAGAATGACCTTTCCGCGAAAGTTGCGTCTCCTCTTGCAACTCCAAACAAACGTCCCTTTTAATGACCCTGCAATTCCTTAATTCGGGGGCGTGAAAAAGAGGCGAGCCTTGTATAGGTTCGCGCGCCTCATCGGGGCAGGTGCCACCTTTCCAGCTCGGGTATTGACTCGACTTCAGTCCCGGCAAACTGCCTGTCCCTTTCCCACCTTTGTCCCCTGAAAGCGACTCCCCAAGCCCTGCTAAAGAGGGCAGCGCCCCTGCCCGGGCCCTCGTCCTCTGCTCTCCGCTATATCCTCGCTGCCGAGAGAAAGCCGGAGGGCTCTTAAAGAGACTTCCGAAGGATGCGCAAAGACGCTTCTCTGAGCTTGGTTGGGGAATATTTCGGAGCACAGAGGCGCCAAGGGGTTGCAGGGAAGGCAGACGAGGACCACGTTTCGCAGCAGCGTTAGTTGCCTATAATGCGTCTACCTCACACATTCGCTTCACACACAAAACACACAGCCAGAGAGACAGAGAGCGAGAGAGAGCGCACAAGTGGAACATAGTACTCCCTTAAGCAACTCCAGAGGGAAACTAAGATTACTTCCCTCGCCCCACAGGTGATCGATCGCCCTTGATCCCATGGAATGGGTCGATGCCTCCCACCCCCGCTCCCTTCCCTTCCCTTCCCACGTTTTGGTTTCTCCTGGCCCAGAACCAGGAGGTCCGCGAGCGGTGCGCCTCCTGCGCAAGCAAGCTCTTTATACGAAGTTGCCACTAATTTCTTCGTGCAGAGCCCTTTTTTTTCCCCCGAAGACTTTCGAACAGCGCTGGTACTGTATAGAAACAGGGCGGGACTAACTCATTCATAACTGTCCAGCAAGTTTCTGTTCTCCCCCCCCCCCCTCAATCCCAAATAAACGAAGCGGTCGACCGTTGAGCGATTGATCTACATTTAAAAGGGGGGGGGGCTGTTTCCGGATCGTGTGATGTCCCCGAAAATCTTCGACTCACTAAGTCTCCCGAGAGGCGAACCCTCTAGAAAAAAAGTTTACCCTAGACCTGCGTGAAGATAATAAGAACTCGCGTCCTCGTTCCTGCTGGGTTGACTTACCAAGGCTGAGAAAACGCGCGCTTCCTTTGCAGCAGTATTCCCTAAAAGAAGAGTAACCCAGTGGTTTAAACTCCAGGAATAGAGCCCCGCCTTAGGAGAGCCAAAGCCGTCGCCAACCACTCCGGTGTATAGCAGCGAATGGGACGAGCCCCAGCTGTTTGCAATCCCTTTACTGCTAGCGCAGATCTCGTGCTTACTCGGTTTATTCAGCCCCCGTTCCAACGCCCAGATATGTCATGGTGGCCTGAGAGAGAACACCCTGAACTATTTAAAGGGGCAGCGCCTCTATCTTTATCCCCCAGCAAAGGAACACAGCAAGCACGCAGAGCCTATTGGGGGGGGGGGGAGAGAGCGAGGCATTACTCCGCGAGGGTGTAGCTTTTGGACTCTTTCCCCCTGACCGAAAAGGCACGTGAAGCGCCAAAAGCGAACAAAGTGGTCGGTTCGTCATATCTCTGGCAGCTGTCACTCAAATACCAACGCGAAGGGCAGTGTGGTGTCTGGGAACTCAGTGGGAAAGATGATGGAAACCCTAAAGTTGTTTTCCCTTTGCTGTTCAAGGTCAAGCTT